TGCGAATTCCCTGGGCAGGACAAACAACACCTGTGTGCGAATGTGTGTGGCTTAAAAGGCCCATAAACCGCAAGCGAGTCCATGGAACGCTGCAGCATTTTGTGGTAATTTTCATAATTTACACAGATACCGAATGAACAGCACACCTTAATGTTATTGGACTGCGGGGAATCCCCGAAGGGCGGGACTCCATATTACGTTGGAAACCATTGAGCGTAATTTGTTTGTCTGTTGGCCAGGCACTTGATAGGCGTGAAAATCAATGTATTGATAAGATATTTTCAGCAAATGCAATTATTTGACAAATTGCTAAACGGCTTACAAACCGAAAAGGGATGAAAAGCCTGGGCAATTTCCATAAATCATCGATTGCGGTACAGTTTGAAGCAGGTCAACTATGATTTATCAAAGTCCAAAAGTGTTTGATTGCCTTTGAGCCTGGAAAACTTTTGCGGAGCTCATAATGCCAGCTTGGTAAAATGTACTTATTTACTTTGGCCCACTCATTAACTGCCGAGAGGAGTCCTCGGCCCCAGCCAAGTTAAAACTTTGCCCTGATTCTAATAAACTTTGCCCGCAAAGTTCATTACCAAAAATGTATCTTCTAGCATCTTTGGCTCGTTTTCCACTCATTTTGGCATATTTACGCAAGGTGACAGGCTCGTGATTAATACGGGTGTGCCTCTGCGGAGGTTTTCGGGATGCCATGATCCCGGCAGTCAAAAGGTTCCTGGCATGTCATTAACCTAACCTACTTCCCACACACTCGGCCCGCATAAAGTTCTCCAAATGCAAATAGATGTGAAGCGAAACTTTTGCTTTACTCTTCAAAAATTGACATTGACCTCCCCCTTTATTGGTAGATTGTAATTTGAGATTTCGGATTGCGACACTAAAGTTTGGTTGCCAACAGAATTTTACTTTTATACAAATTGTGAATACTCTATGAAGTTGGAAGAATTTGTAAACAAATTGTTCCGATTGAAAAATTTTTAGAGAAACAAATATGTTAAAACCACAAAAAAAATGTTCAACTTATTTAAATAAAATTTTATTAGCAAAAAAATTATTAGGCAAAGCAAGTAAATAATATAATATTTTAATGTTTTACATTATTAAAATTTTAATCTAGATTTAAATTGATAATTTCAGAATTTAAAGAAGTTTGTACAAATTTATTCACAAAGTATGAACCAAAATTCTAAAAATAAATGAATATTTTTACAGGATAATTAATCTTTAAAGATATACTTTTTATAAACACTTTTTTTTATGACAAATGAACAAGTAAAATCATTAAGCCCTTGGCAAACCCCTAATAAACACTATCTCCATCACTTAGAAAGGCTCATCAATCGTACAGTTTCTCTATATTAAAAGGTCCTTTCTTTCGCTTTTGAGGGCATAGCCAATCTTTGATGAGCGTAGTAAAATCCTTTAAAACCCCATTCCTAACCTCAGAAGTTTCCGGATGTTGGTCACTTTGACAGACTTCGAAGGCCAAAGAAGACTGACGAGGATGGACTGGGAAAATATTATACTTTCGCCTCTATCGATTGACCGACTTAAGTAAATACCCTAATTTAAACCGCATGATTGATTGCTGCCCAGAAAAACCGAACATGAGTATGGAAGAAAGAGGGCCGGAACCCATCTCCATCTCCAAACACTTCAATTTTTGTGGGCTGGCGTCAAAGTTGTCGCCTCGCTTGGGAGTCCGGAATTTGGCTATTTCGGGGGGGCGGCGGAGGTCGGAAGTAGTGGGTTAAGCCTTGGGGTTATAGGGATGACTGGGCTGGCAAGTCATCACGGACATTGCACTTTGGCTTTGACCATCAAGATTTTCGGGGCAATGTGACGGCAGTCCTTTTGGCACAAGGACCCTCCAGGCGATTTGCTCGTTTCCTGGCGTTTTTCAGCCAAGGCAAGGGAAATGGCTGGCAGCTCATTTATAAAATTTCCCAGCTGGGTTGTTGCTGGCATTTTGAATCGAACAATGCCTGGGGGCCAGCACATGCAAGAAGAGGACCCGCTCGTGTATATATGGGTATATGAAAAATGAATGGCGCCTAGACGCAGGATGCGGACGCCTTTATGGTAATCCAAGATGATGCCCCTTTTTGCGGTTGACATGATTCACTTGGGCGATAAACCAAAGATAACAAAAAGTCAGTCAAAGCCCAAGTAGTTCTCCAAGAAGGATGCGCAGGACAAAGGACATTGGCGGCGACATTTTGGCAGCCCTTTTGGCATATCATTTTGGCCATTTCTCGGCTGTCTGCCTTTTTTTTTTTTTTTTTTAAAGCAATTTTTAACGTTTGAATAAACATTTCATTTAATTTGAGCTCAAACAAAAAATAATAAAATAAACAAACGGAACGGAAGAGCTCGGGGCGATGGGGAAACCAATTTGGCCGACGGGCGCCACCGAAAACTTTACGTAAACACGTAATGGTCTTTACGTTGTTGTACAACGCAGCCGCCGCACGCAACGCGAGCATTTTTGTAATAAGAAATTCAATTTTCAGCAACATTAGAGGCCAAAAGTTGACTCCGCGACTACGTGTGCAACAGGGGATGCAACGCAGCAGCCGCAGAAATTACAGCATTTTGCATTCTTCCTTTGTTTGCGCTTTGCGAGAGAGTGTGTGTTTTCTTTTTTTTTTCTATGGATAAATTGCACACTTTTTCACTTTACTTTTCCCGGTTGAAATTAAAATGCAAAGCGAATTTATTGCTGACCCGCAGGCGTGTCCTGAACTAAAAAACTAAAGAAAGGAGTCCACAAAAAGTCCACTGAAATGGAACAAAGTCTGCGTGCCGCACGCTCGTCCCATGCAAATTTTGAGTTTCACCTGTTATTGATAAGCCAGGACATTTGCCTATCGCCGAAAGGGTCTTGTAGAGGTTTGCCTAATTGTCAACGGGTTTTTCTTGTATTTCTCAAATAAAATGCATTTAGCCCGCCGTTTCCTGGCTAAGCTTTTTCAAGATGACCTGCCAAGATTTCGAGTAGCCTGCGAAGGAAATTCAAAATGAAATATGACTTGTAATTGCTATGGAAATAAAAGAAAATTGTACAACCAGCTTGATTTTTAAGTATTATTAATTTCTTAAGTTTTGAACATTTTGTTTATAACTTAAACGTTTTCCAAGACAAAAAAATAAATTTACGGATATCCTTTTCCAGTCGACTTAGAGATGATTAAATTCTTAGGAAATTGGAAATTTCATCATTTCCTTGGAAAGTGACAAAATACTTGAATTTATTATTCAACTAATCAAGTATTTATTACAATGCCCCGGGGGTTGACAGCTACGGTCGCATCCACATCCCCCGGAAACTTTTCCCTCACCTCGACCACCCTTTCACTTGGCACACACTTTCACTTATTACCGTTTTCCGGCCGCCCCCAGGGGAGATGGGCCTGCCCAAATGGCGGCCCAACACGTAACCTCCATCCGACCCCCACCCTCTAAGGTCCCTGTTCGGGCGCTATGTCCCCCCTTTGGACAGAGTATCTCTTTCGGCTTATCTTCTGCCGCTGCTGCTGCCTCTGCCGCCTGTGACGTGTCCCGATGTCGTTAACTCGCGCGTGCCCCATGTTGCCAGCATGAGTGTGTGTAGCGTTTTCACCTGTCAACAATATTTCATGCCCACTGTGCATTGTGCATTAGAATGACGCCGCCAACAGCTGCCCGTTCCCTGAGTCCCGTATTCCGGTATTCCGGCATTCCCCATCCCAAAACCCCGATTTCCATCCCTTTCACCACTCTCTCTTTTATTAACCATCCCCTTTCGCTGCAGCGCCTAGAAAAGTCGATCAGGTGGAACGGCAGCGTGCAACGTTTACGGCTTTTGGCCTGCCGGTTTGTCTCCGCCTGCTTTTGCGAAATTCCATGTTTGCCCACTCAGCCTTATCAGCTTTTTGCCGACTGCTTATCAGTGATGTCAAGTATTAACATGTGGAATGATAAAAAAAAAACAGTTAAATAAAAGTGGAATATTATATGAAACGTACAAGGTTGTAAGAACTGGGAATTATCACGATAATTTACATAAATGTAGGCAGATAAAATCGTACTATATTAATACATTTCCTGGGTCAATAAATCTAACAGTAACATAAAGCGTCCCAAAGCCATAATTCATTATCTTAATGGAAAAATGTATAATATATCTTTATAGAGTTTAATTTGTGTTGATATTTTTAATTTTTCGTTTAAGAAAATGAAATGGCCAATATTATTGGCAAAAAAATAATCAAATTCAAATAAGGTTCGAAAATTCATAATATTATCATAATGATAACATTCCTATTACAAGATAGAAGAAAAGTTAGTTCTGAGGAAAATATGGCTAGATCGACAGCTCTGCTGAACACACATGTTTGCCCTGCGCCTAATTTTGGGTTGCGTGCACCATGCGTCGCGTCACGTTGAATATGACTTGCGTGCAGCAAAATAACTACTTCGTGTTGGCAGCTCCACGGGTTTGTTGTTCTTGTTGCCGCTTATCATTGGCCCAAAAATTGCCATGGCAACAACAAGTTGAGAACGCAATTTTCGGCTTTTGCATTACAGTTTTACCCCCCGAACGGAATGAGAGCCGCCGCCCTTTGTGTTTTTCGACTGTCTACGAATACAATGCGGGTAATTTGAATGGAAACAGATGTGGGGATCGATTATTTTATTTTCACAGTTAATAATTTCGGGTTTTCTAAATTAATAAGCGTCTTGAAAGGGCAGCAAAGCTCTAATAAACCTCTTATTATCTGGTGAAATTAACTGTTCTTTAAGGCCTGTTCTTTATAAGAGTTAATACGAACATTAACATTTGCATTCTAATTTTGGAACCCAAGATGCCAGCTGGGTTGCCTTTTCCTAACCACGTTGACCTCGATGTTACTTTTCCATTTGGCAGAGTAATGCTAATTTTTTAGGAATCTGTATTCTTAAGCAGTGACTGCACCAACTTCAGTTCAACTGCAGCTGCTGACATGAATAGTTCCATTTGGTTTTTAGTTTGTGCAACATTTCGTCTAAGCTTCTTACAGCAAACGACATCCCAAGATGTGCACTCGCGAGCTAAACGCTTTTTAATATTTCCACGACAAGCGCCTACAAGACATCAGGTAAAGGGACTCAAAGATCATAAGGTAATATTTTAAATATGTTTGTTTTTTTTTAGTTCATTGCTGGCATAGGTATTCCTGCCGATCTCGATTATGAATCACTCACAGTGGGCTACGTCTTGAAAGCAGAGTATTATCTACCATATAATGCAAGTGTTTACCGGCAAAATCCGCTCTTTCCGGAATACAAACCGAATACCATTGATGCAGAAAAACAAAGGAAATTAACTAAACCTTCGGATCTGCGATGGCAAATTTATAAGTTTATTGAACTCTTGCTTAACGGGTGAATTTAAGTTAAGATTCTCTTATAACAATAAATATCTGATTATTTTTTAAGCTACGGATTGAACGGACATGCCTGTCTCTTAGAGGCCATTTGCGAGGCTAACAGAATAGAATTTGCCAAGGACTTTAGCATTGCAGCTGAAATGTTACACTTGCTTCTAAGGTGAGTTCTTCTGTTCGTTTTTGTAAATACATAATATTATTTATTTAATTTTGCAGCCCGTCTTCCACATTAAACTCTAAAAGTTCAAGAGCTTTGGATTTTATTCGCGCAGAAAAAGATGGATCTCGGATGGACTGTTCAAAGTATGACTGCAATACAAAGATAATAAATTGGGTTTCACTTGTCAACAAAATGGATTTTTAAGTTCACTACCGCATAATCATAATATTAACAATATTAATATAGGCTCAAATTTTACCTAAAATATTTCTTACCATCTAATATATTATTTCTTAAAAAAATTTAAAGAAGATTGTTTTTAAATTTGATCTATAAACTCAGAATATCTAATTAAAGCAAGGAAATATCTTGAATAGTTCGGTGCAACTATGCTAAACCGAATTTGATATGGATGCAGACAGCCAAGCAGCCCGACCCCTTCTGACATATCAATAGCCACCTGATTCACCTCGTTCTCCCCTGTTTCATCGCCGGAGAGTTTCAATTTAAAATTCATTGAAATTTCGAACGTTTCTGGCCCGCAGACACGCCAAACGTGGAACACAAAAAGCTGCCCCGGGTTGTTTATAGGATTTGTCAAACACCCAGAGACAGGATGAAAAAAAAATGGAAAAGCGAGGAATCTCGCCGGCGCGTCATAGTCATCACCCTGACAAAATCCCGGAACACAAAAGCGAGACAGGGTTGATTGCCTTTTACAGTTTGCAGTCGCACCCACATACCCACCGCCCTCGCCCTCGTCCGTCTTTTGTCGCATCACATCAATTAAAGCATTACAATGTCATAATCAAAATGACAAATAGAATTACGCATGATGGGAAAGGCAACAGCCGACGGAGCCAACTCCGTTTTGTGGTGGTTGATAGCCGGCAATCCGCAGCACCCATTCCGCAGGACTTGTACCATTTGATTCCGTGTCCGTTTTTTGTTTCGAGACACTTTCCCAATTGGACCGAGTGCCAGACACCTATTCAAATTAATCCTTTGTAAGCCCGCCAGCATCCCACCATCCACCACCCGGCAATCTGCAAGGTGCAATTCCTGATGCCCTGAATCCCTGGGGAAGGGTGACAGCCCTGGTCGCTCTTGGCTTTTCTCCTTCATGTCAAATAACGGTTATTACGTCGCATTATACCAATTGAGCGTGGACTTTAAAAAAGGCTTCTCAGCGATTACCAAACCCTGATGATAATGGAAACAGGAATTAAGCTGCCTATAAGGTATGCATTGCTTTTAATACCCTTTACCTATTTTTTCTTTCTAAGACCCATATGAGTCTTAAAATAAGCGAAAGTGCTTTATTTTATTTCTATGGTTTAATTTTCATATTTTTAAAGATTAACTAACATTGAAAGCCGGGGTACTTTTAAAAAGGGTATAAAAACCCTGATGACAATGAAAAAATTACCAATTATTCCGCACATGCTTAAAAGCAAAGGAAAGCCAAATTTGGGGAAAAAAAAGTTTTAATCACACTTTGGCACACGCTTCTCTCATTAAATTGTCCCCATCCTCCGACATTTTCTGCTTCGGACTGTTTTCTTAATTTGCGTACAAATTATTTGTCAGAGGGTAGAAAAAAAGGCCCTGCACAGCTGTGCCAAAAAGTTAAGCAACCGAAAACTCACATCACAGGGAAAATTCTTTCCACTTTGACATTTCCTTGGACTTATTCAATTACTTTGTTGTTCCCTTATCTTTGGGTATCCCTCTTTGGGATCCGTTATGATTGAATGTTGGAGTATAGAATTTGGGGCCAGCTTAGGGCCAATTTTTATTTTGGGTGATAAACTTTGTTTGGCAATTTTGTAACGTTAAATTGAAAAATTTTCGAGGGATTACTGAAGTTATTATGGAAACAATGGCATATAAATAAAGGCCCGAGGAGTTCTCACACTTCTGTTGGAGAGGATGGAGGATTCCTTAATGGAAATTAATTTTGTGAAGTTGCTCTTTAAGATTGATCAAGAGCTCTTCAGCCTCTGTGGATCAATGAAAAAATGTTTCATAAAATATATGTTTAAAAATATTTATAAATATTTAGATAGTGAATTAATATCATATTTACGAGTTACTTTAGCTTTAAGTTTAATCTTTAAAGCCAATTTTCTGCTATTCTAAACACAATTCATCCACTTACCTTTCTACCAACTCCAACCCCAATCCTTTTCCAACTTCCTGTCCTGTCCAAACCGACAAAACTCACCTCATCGCAGTCAAATTATGTCAAAAATGAAGTATTTGCCTCACCCACGACTGACGGATGACCCTCACACACAGAAGTGTTTTGGGCCAGGAAAAAAGAGGCAAAACAATATCAAACCAAAATTTGTGTATAAATATTTAGCTGTAAGCTATTTGCACTTCATGCTTGACATGCCACAACAGCAACAACGGCAGCAGCAATCTACTTTTAAAATATGTTAATGCCCATTTTACCTAACCGAAGCGTTTGAGGGCCTTGTACTGGCCAAAAAATACCTAAGCTGAAATATTTCTAAACTCGGTGGATTTTTGTTGCCTCGCTTTTTGCACCGAAATAGTTTGGGCAACAGCACAAAAAAATTGTTTTCGGAAAATAAATCAAATTGCTTATCAAAGAGATGATTTAGTGGTTGCCACAGGGTTTTCAGAACGGTGGGGTTTCTGGGAGGGTTGCGCCATCGCCTTTCGCCTTGGATCAACTTTAATAATTGCTCAAGTTGTGGCCTTTTGTGGTCCCGAGCCATAAGTCAATAAAACGGCAAGAAGCTGAAGTTTGAGGTGCTCTCAAGAGCACTTCGCCCATTCCCGACTTCCAGGTGGAACGCATCATATTATTATTATCTCTTGTGAAAATTTACGAGATCAAAAATTAAAATGCCCTCGGGCGGCAAGGAGAACAGAAGAGGAAGAAGCGCTCAAGAAATTGTTGCAGAAAATAATTTTATGGCTGGCCAAGGGTTGGCCCCTATTAGGGGTTGGGGCCAAAGTAATCTATAACCGCATCGGGGTGGGCATCCTACATCCCTTCGGGCTTTTGCACGCTTCAACTGGCAAATTGTCCATTTATTATGCGGCAACGCCTCCTCTCCAAGAGCTTGGAAAATGAAGTGCCTGCCTGCCGCCCCCAAAAAAGCAAAGGGGCATTAAGACAAGCTGTCGGGTTTTTCTTTTTTTTTCGGGGGGAGGATGCACTTAAGGTGCAGCATTAGCCGCACACTTTTGGCCAAGTAAGCGGAAGTTGCACAATTAGAAGAGCTAGTCAAAGTTTCGGCCCCAACCTGGCCCTTTCAATGCATATTAAAAATAGTTTTCCCCGGATCCTGCACCCAGCTGTCTGTGAAATATCAGCAGCAGCTCTGTCGATATGCATTAAAAGTTGTTGCCTGCCATTACATAAGATATTAGTTGAGACAGGTCAAGGATGAACGGGAACAGGAGCAAAAAATCCTTCCCGGACATTGAAAAATTAGAAATATTTCACCTGACAGGTGGGTGGTGGGTGGTGACTCTCGAGGGCGCCGGAGTAAAGTGCGGTCAGCTGTTTTGCATTAAGTCGGAATTATGCTGGCAACAATTTTCTGCTGTTTTGAATTTTTCTTGTATTTTTTCCATGTTTTTCATATTGAACAGATGCTTTTTTCGAGATAAGTTATAGGGATAGAAAAGGAGGTCAAAGTGGGAAAAATGAAAAGGTTACTTGCTTGCTGATTTAAAGCTATTTATATCCCTTAAAGTGTACGGACTTATCAAGGATCTTTTAAATTGTAAAAGTATTTTTCTGCCAAAATCGCTTGAAATTCATTGACTGCACATTTCATTTATTAAGTAATGCCCAGTAGAAATATCTGGAAAAGGGATGCCCGGGCTGCTTAAAATTTATTTATGCCCGGACCGAGGCCATTTCGAGTGATGCCAAATGCTTCCCTGTTCCACTGGCGACGTCCAGTTAACGCTTCAATGGTGGCAAATGGCTAAATTCGGGCGCATAAAGTGAATTGTTTTATGCGCCGGGCCAAAGTCTTTCGCCAGTTTTCCTTTTTGAAAAACGAGTTACACACGTGTCGCAAATGGTAGGGTTGCCCCTCAATCCATCCATCCACATGCGTTTGGTTTGGGCTGCTCTTTCGGCCAGGGTAATCGAAGTGAATGTGGGATCCCAAGAAGCTTGATGGCCGTCCGGGCTTCATAGATTATGGATGAGTTTCATAATGAGCCAATTTATACAAGTGTTCCACATAAGCGTGGGTTTTTGGCCAGGAAGTAGGCGCGTGTGTGGGTGTGTGCGTGTGCCTAGGGTTGCCACTGCATTGGGCCTCATCAAGGATTCCAACAGGGCTGTCCAAAGTACTTAGCGATGGATCTCTCCTTACTGCTTCCCTATGGAAAGAGTCCTTAAAGAGAATTATAGAGTGGCTTATAAAATAATGCAGTCCTGTATAAATTTTTTTAGAATTTTGATTAACTTTTAGTAACAAAAAAATAAAAAACTCATTAATTTCTTGAAAAGAAATGCAATTTTTATATGTAACATTTATTTCTTTTCATTAAATAAATAAGTGTACAAATAATATTATTGATAATTATACCTACTTCCCATATAAAATAATATTGCATAATCTCCAAACAACTATTTCAAACCGTGCCAAAGAAAGGGTATTGAAACGTTTAATCTGCGTCACTAACCTTCACTTCTGGGGTTTTTTCGTTGGCACCCGGGGACTGTGGGGTAATGATATATGACACCCCGAAGAAGCTGCTGGCCAAAACGCCATTTGTTTAAACCAGACGAAGCGAAGCAGCACAAGTAGAGGAGTCCTCCGCAACTTCACAGCTTCCATTTGAATGCGCACATGTCGGGGGCGAGTGAGCAACACATGGCTCCAAGCATCCAAGTATCCAGGGATACCGGCAGCAGTTGGGATGCGGCAGTTGGATTTTCGGGGGACAGCAGCTGTTGCCCGAACTGCTCGTCCTGCTTGAGTGCACGCGTCAGGTGACAAACTGGAGCTTTCCTGGCTCCTTTTTTGTGCTCCAATCGCCTGTTGACAAAAGCATCGGCAGCTGTTGCTCCTGCCAACTTCTTAGGGCAGCGTCATTGGCTTGGGCAGTAAACAAGTCGAGTTAACTCAGGCTGAAGGCGATATTGGCTTCACAAAAAATAAACCCACTTGTTGCTTTCGGGAGTCTGCTTGAGGCAT